CTGTTTAAGGAAGCACTTCCTTTCACAATACTTGCCCTCTGCCTCCTTGGCATATGGTAAAGGCGTGACAGGCCTACCAGATATACAGGACCTCATGAAACATGTGACTGACCTGGGGAGAGGGGTCCAGTGAACCAGAGACCACATGGGCAGTAGAACTAGCTCCTACATTTGCCAAGGTGTATAGGAACGCAGTCATACTTAATCACTGTTTTGTCATGTTGATGAACAGCCAGTCTTTCCAGAATTGATGTCAGTTTAGTTTTACCCAGATCACCGCAACATTAGTTTACCAGCTGGAAGCTCAAACATTGCCAAATGACATGTAATAGGAATGGGCAGACTTCAAGCCTGCCTTGAAAGGAACTCAGTCGTTGGAACCCAGTTATGGGAGCAGGCAGCTTGCAGAGGTGACAGTGCTTTGTAGCCTGAATGGGGTTGGAAGAGTCCCTAGGGCTCTTTTCTATCCCAAGTGTGGATTCTTCTAAAACACCATACGCACTTGGATATTTTCATATTCAGATAGAAATTAGGTGAGGGAATAAGTTTAATCCTGATATATATCTAATGAGAGCTTCTCTTCTTCTTTTATTAGCTATAAAATAAGTGAGAAATGCAGTAGTGATACTTACTAGATACTGTGTAGAAAATGAACTATTCAACTTGTGGGTGAGGATGGGAGGGAAAAACTGGGAGAGAGCAAGGGTAGGAGTGACATTGTCTAAAAAGAAATATACTCATTACCTGACTTATATAATTGTAATCCCTCTGTATATCACCTTCATAACAAATAATAATAATAATAAAATAAATGAAAACCACTTAGCCTAGGAATCATGGGAAGATGAGCAATTATTTCATAAGTTTCCCCAGAAGCCAGTCTTAGGGTACAGTTACTCCAATATTTGAATCTGAAGGTTTTGTCCTGCTCACAAAGCTCATATGCCAATGGTTTGGTCCACTCTAGGTAGATCCAATCACTAAGAGGTGATTGTATTACAAGGGCTCTGCACTATTCAGTGGATTCATTCATTGATGGATTCATAATCAGAAAGCATTATTAGGAGATGATTGAAACTTTCTGAAGTGGACCCTAGTGGAGTCTTTAGGGGCTACATCTTATTTAAGCCTCCTTTCTATCTCTCTTTCTCTCTCTGCTTCCTGGCTGCCAAGAGGTAAGCAGCTCTGTTCCACTGCTCCCACCATAGGTGAAACCTCTGAAGTCTCAGAGCCAAAATAAATCTTCCTTCTCTTAAGCTGATTTTCTCAAGTTATTTGTCTCAGCAATGAAAAGTCTAATATATTTAAACACTTCCTTATACTTACTGATCTTATCGTTTTGATGCCAACTCTGACTTTTTACATAAAACTATTTACATACTTAATTAATTTGTGCCAGTACTTGAGCTTGAACTTAGGTCCTGAGTGCTATCCCCTAGGTTGTGTTGTTGTTGTTATTGTTGTTTCTCTCAACTCTGGCACTCTACCACTTGAGCCACAGCTCCACTTCCAGAATTTTTTCCTAGCTAATTGGAGTTAAGAGTCTCATAGACTTTGCTGCCCAGGCTTGCTTTGAACAATGATCCTCAGATCTCAACCTTCTGAGTAGGTAAGACTACAGATGTGAGCCACCAGTGACCCAGCTACATGAGACTCTGAATAGGCCAAAAATAACTTATACTGGAAAGCCACTACATAAGTACATTGTCAGTGAGAATAGTTTTACACCTTTACAAAATGATGGTGGTCACTACCAACTTTCCCTTCTCTTACTCTCCTTCTGCACAATCACAAATGGTAGCTTACATAAAATAACAGTACAACATATAACAAAGAAGCCCAAATGGCCACAATGCCAACCTTTTTTCCCAGGGCATAGTATAAAATCCAGGGCAAGAAGGGACTGGAAAGTGAATCTTGGGAGTCCCAAAGCATGTATACCATGGAAACTTCTATCACAATGAGAGCCTTAATCTTACTCCCTCTTCTGAAAACATAAACCCCCAAACTAGTTCTAAGCACTTGTGCTGGGAGGGGCTCATGAAGCAGGGTCTTATGGTTAGGTAACACATTTGTTTGGAACTCAGCCAACTTCTAAATAACAAAATAAAATGTATTTGGTGCTGGTGGACACTACAACAGCACCAGTTAAATGCTTACAGTTAAATGCTTACTTTAAAAAAATTAATATAATTGTGACTGGGTCATTTGATTTCTTCTCTATTGCTGCTAACAAACTAACAACATACTATGGCTTCTCACTCCATAAAAGAAAAAAAATTTCCATTTTCATGACAATATGCACATTTAATTATTTGTTTTTGGAAGTAGAACCTGGAGCTTGGAGGACTGACAGAGCTAGATGGAGGATTCGTGTGAGAAGAAATTCGTCAAATAGACTGAAATAATAAGTACTATTTTATACGCCAGGTATTTAAAAATAACAGGCTCAAAATAACACACTTGTTAACACATCATGGATGTGAATAGGGGAACCACAATTGTTTTCTTTCCTTTTTCTTTTTCCCCTAGCTTGCATTCCCAAGTTGGTTTCATAGAAGGCTTTATTGTAATCCAGGAGCATTGTTTTGCATTAATTTCTATGACAAGGGACCCAAAACACAGGGTGCTCAGAGTAACAAAACCCAGTTAAGGGAACAGTCTTGACTTGGCACAGAGTATGACAAGCTGGAAAAAGGCAAATGTTTTAATATCCGAAGTGCTGTGGATTTCCTGTGAGCAACCTTTTCTCTTCTAAACAGTATCATATTCTTTTCAAGCACATTTAGGACGCAAGTCAAGCTGTGTTTTATTTTTTGTATTATAATAAACACAGTCAGTTTACTGTAACAAAGACAGACTAGCAGTGGTCAGCTGAACGCCCAGATACGGCACGGCACCATGAGTCTGGTAGGGTGGGGGGCTTGGGGGTGGGGAGTCAACAGATAAAATAAAAGACCAGCCGTCTGGAAAGTTCTCTTAAAAGAGCATAAAAAGGCAGTGTTGTCTTATGAAACTAACACAGACTGCCAAAATATCTAGCTAGGCACTTGCTTCTTTGTTGTTGTAACTTATGGTGAGCTGTCACTAAAAATCAGCAAATCCATTGAAATATTGGCCTCTCATACTTATTTTTGGTTTCTGATCTCCAGAATAAAATGAAAATATTTTACATCCTGTTTTAAATGAGAATACTAATTCTTATGTAAGAATCTCTTCGCTGGTAAAGATTTATGATGCTACTATTCAAAGTGTCTTCTTAAAAACTGCTTTAAAATATTTAGAATGATGCATGCAGTTAGATTTTTGATAAAGGTGAAAATGAATCATTTACAGTAAACTTACAAATAAAGTAACATATAAAACATATACACTTTCATCATTACATTCTTAAGAAATCTATTAGGAGGGAAAAAAAGTAAATTGTCTTACCATTTCTTGAACTAGTACTTTTTCAGCTTCAAGTTCAGCTAACAATCTGTCTCTAACATCCATTAGCTGGAAGAAAGAAGAATATATTCTGTGAAAGATCAGAAGAGAAGAGATGAACTTTTCCTTCTAAAATTTGGTAAACAAGAAAACCATATTTTAATAGGACAGGGAAAAAAAGATGTCAATGTGGGCAAAGGAAAATGAAATTTCTATTGATTGATATGTTATCATGAGAATATTATACAGGCAAACAAATATACAAAGAAAATGCCAACATGTCTACGGGCTTTCTCACATCATCCTTCCAAATTCAACATCTTTTGTCACATTTGTCAAATGTTTACTTTCTTTTGTGGTGTGTGGGTGTGTCAGTATTGGGCTTAAATGGAGGGCCTGAGGACCATCCCTTCACTTTTCCACCCAAGGCTGACAGTCACCCACTTGACTCACAGCTCCACATCTGGCTAATGAATTGAAGGTAAGGGTCTGCCATATATTTTTTTTTTGTCCAGGCTGGCTTTCGATCTTGATCCTCAGAACTCAACCTCCTGAGTAGCTAGGATTACAGGCATGAGCCACTGGCACCTGGCTTTCTTTTACTTTTTATATGCTTCATTCTCTTCTTTTAGCTTTTTGTGCTGTATTTATGGACATAATCAAGCCATATTCATCAAAAGCACTTATTTCACCAATACTCCCACCCTATGTAATTTCAATGATTATTATTTGCATGCATACTTTATATTGGGAAAATTGAATCCTTGAGTTAGACCCCCCTTCAAATCAATTCCTCATTTATTAATTTAACCAACATCTCAGTGTCAATGTTCTTTGTGGCTTTTGTTAATCATAGTTTCCTGGTTTATCCCACTGACCTCTTAATTATTCTCAGGTTTCATATTTGCCTCCCTCCCATTTATTCTCTTACTGAGATGCCAGTCTGACTCAACAACAATGACCACGGCTATTAAATGCACTCAGACGTTAGCTCCACCCCCTGGCATAAGTAAGAATCCTCTATGCTGCCAACAGCCACCGAAATGATTCTTCTCCCACCCCCTACACCAAATTCTTGGAAAACTGAGGAGTGTATTGGAGCCCAGGATGCAAATGATAAAGGAGAGCACTCAGAATTAGGGGGGGGTAATAAGGATTTAATACAAGGACAGACATCCCAACAAAGATAAATATACAGCTTGTGTCAGAAGCAGCTCCTGTGTTTTGGTAGGGTGGCTGACTTTAATTCCCTAGCCTCTACCTTCCAAATAACTAGGACTATAATCTCGGTCCACTGCACCTAGCTAGAGAAACTTGTAAATTTTGTCTTAATATTAATCTTTTAAATTGTGTCTAATATTAATGTGAAAAATAATACTTGGCTCAGTTACTGGAAAACATTTAGATTTATTTGGCATAATTTGAGGATATGAATATTCTTTGTCATGTATCTGTTTTTTGAATGCTAAATATACCCCCATCCTATTCATCACCCCAAGAGAAAGTTTCACGTTGCCATAAACAGTAAAGCCACATTGGGAGGGAACAGAGCTCAGGGAATGAAAGCTGGAAATGAGTCTTACCTGCAGGAAGCAGGGACTGGTATGGTCCTCCTGCCTTAGCTGCTCTAGGAAATCTTTCTGCGCTCACTCATGATTTTCTGATGGCTTTGAGCCTAACTCATCCCAATTCAGAAAAATGAGCACCAACCAAGATCTGAAGATTAAGACTTCTAAAGAATGGAATTTTCTCACCACTGTAAACATGTGTTGAAACTTTCCAATGGTAGGTAACTTTTCAATCAATAGACGCTCAATTATCCCAGTAAAAGAAGCATCTATAGACCAATAAATTATTATTATCATTATCATTATTATTATTGCCAGTCCTGAGGCTTGAACTCAGGAACTAGACTCTGTCCTTGAGTCTCTGTGCTTAAAGCTAGCACTCTACCATTTGAGCCAGGGTGCCATTTCCAGTCCTTTCTGAGTAGTTTATTGGAGATAAGAATCTCACAAACTTTCCTGCCCAGGCTGGCTTTGAACTGTGATTCTTAGATCTCAGCCTCCTGAGTAGCTAGGATTTTATAGGCATGAGCCACTGGAACTTGGCTAGACCTATGAATTCTGAATACAGAAATCTTATCCGTGACTAGCTAGTCTTCCCCCAAATACCAAGGAAATACACAATCAAATACATAATAAATCAACTTTTCTTACATCCTTAGACAATCTGGCTTCAGTGTCATGGCACCCATGAAGTTGATATTTCAATTTAAAAAGTCATTTATCAATGTTAAAATGTTACCGTACCTTCTGAATAGTTCTCTGATCCTGCTCTGCAAACTCTTTCAGATTTAAAATTTCATCTTCTGGAAACAAAAGGAGAGAGAGGCCAACCATGAAATTACATGCGTATGCTGCAGTATTCATACTGCCTACTTGGGGGCAGGCTGGGGAGCCACAGGCAGGCATGGTGGACGCAAGCCCTAGCAGGACTGTGACCTTCACAACTGCCCTTGACATTCATCCCCTCCTTCCTGCTGTTCCACCGGCTGGTCCCATAGGGATTAAGAAGTAAGTTCAAGATCCAAGTGTGGCTGAGGGTTGGAAGCTTTTCATCAGGTTGAGCAGAGAAGACTTTTTGCTATTAGTCACAGCCTCTCCAAAGTGCTTTATTTAGCAGGTAGTATATTATGACTCAGGAAGAAAGGAGCACATCTTTCTACTATGGAAGAGACAGGGAACCTCTGAGTCTAGTTTTATGTTCAGGAGATATTATATCTCATTTTATCCATGCTTTACTAACTTTCATTGATCCTTTTTCTTGCTCATTGCCTTTTATAGCAGAGATGAAGGGCAACCTTATATACCATGAACACAAATATAAACAATATAGTTCAGTACTTAACAATAATGGTACTTTGGTACTTGAAATGCAACATCTACCAATGGCTTATGGGATGAACCAAATGGGTAGAAACTGTACAATGAGAATTGGTATTTAAAACTCATATAGAAAATTAGCAGTACATAAGGAGTAAGGGCGAGTGTTTCTTTTATGAGGTGCTAACTCAGCTTCCCTACAAAGCACATATGTAAGCATACACTTATGTATTTAAGTGTTACCACTTAGATAATCAGTTAAGCATGTGAAATAAACCAGGGAAAGTTTCTATGTTTGGAATCTTTCTAAGGGATGTAGAATACTGGTTAGTATATTGTTCTGGGAAGGCCAATGTTTGACAAAAAAAAAGCAAAAACAAAAACAAAACACCCAAGTTAATGAGAGTGTCATTACAGACAAATTCTTTGCCCCATCAACCACTGCTTTCTTAGACAAAATCAAAGATGGCTGTCAAGTACCCGGCTTTAAAAATCAATAACCATACAAATATATATGTGTGCCAAAGACAAACATAGCAAAAAATTAGCTGAGTGCCTAAATTTTCCCTAAGAATAAATGAGTTTTAAAATGTTACCTAATACTGAATTCTCTTTCACATTGAATTGGATCTCATCTTCTAGTCCTGCAATGACTTGAGACAGTCTCTCACATTCTGCTTTGTAATCCACATCAGGTCTGGGGGAGCCGGTATCTTTCAAAGGGTCCTGAAAGATGGGAAATCTCATATATCTAAGCAGGGAGCCAAGGATTTAAATATGCAACCCCAAGACAATAAGCATGCAGAAAGAGCTATCATATAATTTTCTGAATTCTATTACACACTTATAATAGCAAAAAAAAAAAAAAAAAGGAGGGAGGGGCGAAGAGAGCTAAATAGAAATTGCTGGAAGAAAAGCCACAGTACATTCTCGACAAAGAGCACAACGCATGGGGACATTTTATTGACAGGAATAATGCATATCATACTGTTTGTGTGCCCCTCATCGTTCAGGTCAATTCATTATGGAGGCTGGATCTGGGAGGCAGCTGGATCCCCTTCACCCACAATATTCTGTGTGTGTGTGTGCGTGCGTGTGTGTGTGCGTGTGTGTGTGTGTGTGTGAAGTGCTATTTCCCTGTAACTAGGCAAGCTGGGGAGATCATGGATAGGCAGCACCAGGGGGTGGGCAACGTGCAGACTAAGGAGGGGCGGGGGCTGGCTGCCTTTGTGGCATTTCCCAGTGTCCGTGCTGCCAGTGTGGTGAGGAGCTTCATCACATGTCAAAGTGGTGACGTTTTCAGGCTGGGAGCTGCATGGAGTCCATCAGGCGTTCGGATATCCACACAGTTGGTTTTCTGCTTGGTGGAAGAGCCACCCAGAGGCAATTCATATTCTGAACATTAACGTGGCTTTGCATGCCTGTCACCCGGGGACTGTGCAGGCGTTGAATGCTATTGAACACTTGGGTTTAAATCTCTATGCAAACAGTGATTACCTTGTAAGAAAGTTTCAGGATAACTTACAACAAAAGACTTTAAAGTTATAGTTTTAGGAAAGCAAACTCATTTACATTTTTATTATGTGTGTCTTTTGTTTAAATCTTGCTGTGTCTATTATGGGAGAAGCTTTTTCTTATGCCATATTGGAGCAGCTACTCTTTTTTTTTCTTCTTCTTCTTCTTCATCTTCTTCTTCTTGTCTGTTTCAAAGCTATTGAAGACATCTGAATATGCTCTCTACGGTTGTCCAGATTTTACTGCCAGACTTTTTTTTTAATAAAATAAAATAAAGATGTAATGGGTTGGAAGAGAGGCTGGTGCAGAATTTTATACTTCATTATGGAAAAATATTAAATGGATGATGCAGTCTCAAAAAATGAGTATTGTTATGTTAAAAGATTTGGTTAACTATGTAGGCCTTGCTTTCAAATGACTACAGACTTTTAAATATAGTTTGGAACTTTAAAGAAGTCTTCTGCTGAATTGGAATCTGTGCTTTTCACTATAATTCCGGGATTGCAAATAAGTAAGAATAAAATATCCCCTCAAAAACAAGTAGCCCTCCCAATATATTGAGCTCCTTTTGAAACTGTATTTTTAGTAAACTTTGGAAATACTGGGAAGTATATGGTTACGGCATTTTCCCCTGTGATTATAATGGTTCAAAAATTTTTTAATCATCAAAATGAGAGGTTTCACAATGCAGTATGAGATCTATTATAAAACAAGTGACTCCCCAATGAAATTATATCCATATAAATTAGAAGTATTTGAAATAGGCTGTTTCAATTTGTACTCAGTGACAAATCTTCAAGATCCTGATTCATCATTCACTTAAATTATCTGTGCCCCATTAGCTCTTTTTGACACAGTAGTTATGTAATACAGATTAGCTTGAACTCATCATGTTCCTCCTCATCCCAGCCTCCAGAGTGCTGGGATTCTAATTAATTCTTAACTAATGAATACTAACACTTCTAATGAGGAATTAATACACAACATGGTTTTCTTAGTATAGAATCCTATTCATTCATTTCTTATTCCACAGAGTTCAGTTTGAGACTATGACAGAATATAGTTATGCATAGATAGGATTTTTTTTTCGGATAAGCAAACTAAAAAAATAACCTTCAATGATGTAAGCCTAATTTCCTCACTACAGATTACAAACCCACAGTGACTTGCATAGGTGCCGGTTATCATAAACTAGTGAACTATTCGAGTGAACTAGATGAAGTGTAAAATGTCTTCTAAGAATCTCTCTGCATGAAAACAAGACTCAAGAAAACACATTAAATCAGGGTTTCCTCTCTCTCCATGGCTTTCCAAGTCCTAATTCTTGTGAGATGAGGCCTTAGCTCTGTCTCCACCATCTGTCAGCTTCAGGAACTGCAGGTCATTAACTATTCAGACACCCCACAGCCATAAGGATGCTCATTAACAAAATGAACAAAGGGAGAGTTCTGGGCTGCTCTGAGTGGCATGTTTTGTGGTGGCGTTTCTTCTGCCATCTGTCTACATCCCTCATTTTGGTTTTCTTAAACCATGAGTCTCCTTTAACATAAACTGCATTAATAAAGCCAGGGTAAGAAGGGTGGAGATCATTAGAAAGTGGCTAACTTGGCATAGAGGGTTAAAGCCAAATTATACTCCAAGAGAGTCTGTGTGTGACTCAGAGCCACTCTCAACTTTAAATTTATAAAGGAACTTGCTACTCTATACTTTGTTGTTGTTGTTTGTCATACTCTATTATAGAAGCTAGGCTTTCAGATGGTGATGTATTTCTCTTAGAATGTTCACAACATGTACAAAATTACTGATTCCCGCTTTCTTGAGGGAACTGATTATACTGAAAACAATATAACCAAGATCTTTCCTATTCAGGGTGTGGCCCACAGACCAGCTATCCCAGCAGTATTTGAGAACTTTCTGGAAATGCAGACTGTCATCCAGACTCTCTGATGTCAATCTATATAAGATGTGCAGGTGACTCTTGAACACAGTGAAGGCTGGCTCCTGGCTCAGGGCTCTTTGTGTGCCTTCTCAGCAGTTTCCATTCTGTGATGTTACTGTCTCCATCCTGCAGGCTCCCTGTGCAGTACTTGGACGTCTCAATTTGATGCCAGGGGAGGCGTGGTGTTCCGATGCATGTGCATGCCTCATGGCAGTCATGGAGAAGAGCAGGTGCTTCCCCAGTGAGTGACAACCAGGAAAGTGGCACCCTGGGACAGCGCAGCCCTGCAGAGCTGCCTCTCTTGAATGACAGCTCTGTTTCAGAGTTGTCAGCCACAGCAGTAGATTGTTCACCAGTGGAGGGAGGGAAGGAGGGAGGAAGATTACCTCATCTATGTTGGGCTTAGAAGGAAAACTGAAAAATCGACCTAATAAAGCAACTTCAGCTGAAATGAAAACACACATGTGGCGTGTGCCTGCGCACACACAAAACACACATCTCCATACACATATACACACACTGTATGCATGCACACACAATGCAAACCTGGATACCTGCTTGCATATACACCTGTGTGCACACAAATGTATACTTGTACGCATGTATAAATACACATGCTCACATGTTCGCATATGCACATGTACGTGTCTACATACACACATTCATCATACATATACAGTGAGCACACATGTGTACCCATGCATACAGATGTAGCCTCTGACAGGCTAACCTGTTCCATGATTTTTTTTTTAAATCCATCATGGTCTTTGAATTCAGGGGATGTGCTCTGTCCCTGAGCTCTTTTGCTCAAGGATACCACTTTAAGCCACAATTCCACTTCTGGTTTTCTTTTGGTTAATTGGAGATTTGGTTAATTGGAGAGTCTCACAGGACTTTTCAGCTCAGGTTGGCTTCAAACTGCAATCCTCAGATCTTATCCTCTTGAGTAGTTTTGTGAATTCTTAAGGGGCATACAGAATACTTCAGTGACAATGATGATGGTATGTAGCTAAATAACATTGGGTATTTTTTTGGTTGTTGTGTTGTTTGTCAATTGTGGGGCTTGAACTCAGGACCAGGTCGCTGTTCTTGAGCTTCTTCTGTTCAATGCTAGTACTCTACCACTTTGAGCCACGGATCCACTTCCAGTTTTCTGGTGGTTAATTGGAGATAAAAATCTCACACATTTTCCTGCGAGGCTGGCTTCGAACCATGATGCTCAGCTCTCAGCCTCCTGAGTAGCTAGGATTACAGGTGTGAGCCACCAGCATGCAGCTTAGTCCCACTGTTTTCCCATGGAAAACTTGAATGAAGTTGCTCCTGGGAAAATTCAGTATCAAAGCTGTTCTCATATGGAGATGAGGTCTCTGTAACTTGAAGAGTTGCCTTTTCTGATTTCCATTTTGTCATAAATACAATTCAAAGCAGCTACTTACTGACCTTGCTTTTTCCTATTACCTTCTTAGCAGATTTCTCAGACAAGAGATGTGACATCTATTAATGCTAAAGCTACTTCTATAATTTGATGATCAGTAAAGACAAACTAGTTTTAGATGAACCAAATAATGCTTATTTATTTCAAGTTTGTTCAAAATATTACCACTACTACTTGGAATTTTTAAAGTGTTCTTCCAAACCAAACTGCAGATTTAGAATTATTTAGTATCATCTAGGGATGTTTTTATACCACTAGAGGGTGCAGTTGTTTTAAGATGAAATTTCAAATAGCACTTAACCTATCATCTAGATTGTAGAGTTTATATGGCAAGAAGGTTTAAAATAGTTTGTTCCTAGAAGATCTGTCAGAGTAGTATTTCACAAGTTGATTTGAGAGAGCTCAGGGTCTGAATTTGTGACACAGGAATGCACACATGTGTGCTTGTATCAAACGCTGCCACGTATTTAGGGTCCCTAGGAGAGATCTATATACCCCATTAATTTACCCTAGTGTTCCCAAGCCTTGCAGTGTTTACAGAAATCCTGACTGTGGTCTTCTTGGGGGCAGATTATCACAGAATAAGTAAGTTATCTGGCTGTCATTCAAATTCAGAGAACAAACTCCTTACATTGAGTGGGGTGCAGGTCCCATGTATGATCCTCACAAAGCTGCCTCCCCTCCCCCTTCATTCTTGTCCCACAACAGCTGAATGGGCTGAGAACAGAAGTGCTAAGATGTTTGAGGGAGTGAAATGAATGTACCAAAATCATCCGCACTACATCTATGCTATGTTAGTTAAGGCAGAATCTCAAGGTTAGAGGGAAAACCAGGAGGGAAATCCTTCAAAGGTTTTCCTTCGTGATGTGTGTGTGTGTGTGTGTGTGTGTGTGTGAAGCACGTGTGTATGCCTACCTGCCTGCCTGCCTGTATTGTGCTTGAACTTGGGGCTTTGTACTCCTGCTTGGCTTTTTCTCTCAAAGCTGGCATATTATCATTTGAGCCACATCTCCACTTCCAACTTTTTTGCTGTTAAGAGTCTCCTAAATTATTTTTGCCCTGCCTCTGGGTTTGAACCATGATTCTCATATCTCATCCTCCAGAGTCGCTAGGATACAGTCATGAGCCACCAGGGCCCAGCTCCTTTCATTTATTTATTTATTTTGTTCATTTGTTTATTTCAGTCGTGGAGCTTAAACTCAGGGCCTTGGTACCGTCCTTGAGCTTTTTTGCTCAAGGTTAGACCTCTATCACTTTGAACCTTAGCCTCACTTCTAGTTTTCTGGTGGTTAATTGGAGATATGAGTCTCACGAAGTTTCCTGTCCTAGATGGCTTCGAACTGCTATTCAATCTCCTGAGTAGTTTGGATTACAGGCATGAGCCACTGGCACCTGGCTTACGGTTCCTTCTTGATATTATTATTATTATTATATAAAGACCATTCTGTTCCAAGTTAACTTCTTAGAAGTCTCTGATCTGGGAAGATTAGCTTTGTGTCTTTTCATCTATCTTGACTGCAACAAAGGTTGAGATTCTTCATTAATATAACAAAAATCCACTCTTTCAGGGTGAGATGTTTCAGGAAAGTAGGTTATTTTAGTTTCTATTGTCCTTATTTATAATTATTATGGACTTTCTAGAACACACCATTACATAGTAAAATGTTAGATTGGTTCATATTATGGAGAGCTGTTATGATTCCCCAACTCCATTTTATTCTTTTTTTTTTTTTTTTTTGCTACTGTGACTTGAATTCTAGGCCTTGAGTTCTCCCTTGGGTTTTTGTTTGTTTTTTTTTGTTTGTTTACTTCTGATGCTCTGCCACTTGAGCTAAACCTCCATTTCCAGCTTTTTGCTGGTTAATTGGAGATAAGAGTCTCTTGAAATAGCCTATGCAAGTTGTCTTTGATCCAAGATCCTTAGATCTCAGCCTCCTGAGCATCTAAGGTTACAGGTGTGAGTTGTCAGACCCAGCAAAATCTATTTGTTCTCAACTCAAGCTCTTAGCTATCTCTGATTTTACTTACACATATGAAAAGTTATTCTTTGCATTGAAACTTACATATTTTTGATAACCAAGTTCTTCATATCTCTCGAGCTCCTCTTTTAATTCCTTGATAAGATCATCTCTCTCCCTCAACTTTCTTTTTAAAATACCCAGTTGGAAATTTGCCGCATCATGCAAGGCAGACTTCTCTTCCTCAACATCAAAGTACCGCTGGTGGGAAAAACAGAAGTAGTAAAAATCAGACACTAAGGCTGGCGCCGGTGACTCACACCTGTAACCCTAGCTACTCAGGAAGCTGAGATCTGAGGGTTGCAGTTCAAAGCCAGACCACACAGGAAAGTCTGTGAGACTCTTATCTCCAATAAACCACCAGAAAACCGGAAGTGGAGCTGCGGCTCAAGTGGTAGAGCACTCACCTTGAGCTGAAGAGTGCAGGGACAGCGCCCAAGCCCAGAGTTCAAGCCCCACGACTGACACCCCCCCAAAAAAAATCAGATACTAACATAGTACCACCAAGAATGGTTTTATTTTTAAGATGAAGTTTTTTTTATAAAGTACACCAGCTTTAGTAAATAATTATGTACGGTGATTTTTGTTGTTGTTTGGCTTTTTTCGGTGGTACTGAGATTTGAACTCAGGGATTCATGATTGCTAGTCAGTTACTCTATGCTTGAACCATACCTCTGCTCTTTTGAGGTCTGCTTATTTTTGAATTAGGATCTCTTTTCTGTCCAGACAAACCTAAACTATGGTTATCCTATTTACAATTTCCACCATAGCTGAGATGACAGCTGTGTGTCATTATGCCTTGCTACTGATTAAGATGAGGGTCTCACAAACTTTTTTGCCCAGGCTGGCCTTGAAATGCAATCCTTCTTATCTTGGCCTCTCAAGTAGCTAGGTTTACAGACATGACTTACCGAATCTACTTAATAACTCTCTTTACATTCAACTTGGTGGCAGTGTCAGGCAAAACAGCCCAGCATTACTCTATAGAACACAGCATATATTACTCTGACTTTATAAGCCATGCAAAGAAAATATATCCCAGAAATGAGCCCCCCACCACAACAAGAGTTTCGCAACTGCTCATCAACAAAAGTCCTTTGTGGGTGCTTTGTGACCCAGGTAGGAGGCTGCACAACTCTGGTCTAGGCTAAGAACGATAAAGAAGGTTTAAAGAGACATGACAGGCCTGTGCCGAGTCAGCCACAGATGCAGAGACATGGTCTCATCCCACTGTGATTTTGGGCACCATTTGTTTGGTTTTGCCCTTCCACCAGAGCCATCTGTCAAATGTTACCAGACAACCAAGGCAGCTAATCTACCTTAATCCTGTGTCCAGTAAGAGAATACAGGCCAGGCATAGTGAGAGTAATAGGAAAACTTATCAAGAAAGGAATACATCAGGTCTGGCTCCTCACCATTAATACACCAAATAAAGAGACATGCTGAAGGGCAGAGAAAGGAAATTTACTAGAGGTAAGATGTCACAGGAAAATGTCATGACAGCTCATCTTCATTCTCTTCGGAGTACAGACACGAGAATTAAGAGTAAATAGAAGAAGAATTAGGGGAAAGGGGAAAAAGAGCTACATAAAGAGGCCTTGTATGTTTTCTCTCATAAATGGAGATTAGATCTAATATGCACAGGGATAGGATTGTTTATATAAGACTCTAGACATTCACACTCAGTGAGACCAAATGAAGATACCCTTAGAGGACACAAAGATGCAGTGCCCACGTGCATCTGATCATATAAAATAGTCTTTATTAAAATGAACCCCAGGAAATGGAAACAAGAGGACTTTTTTCCTCCATTGCTGTTTTTATGTTCTTTTCTTTGTGTTTTGCTTGTTTGCTTATCTGTCTCTGGGAGAGTACGGGGGAACTCAGAAATGGAGGGACAAAGGGAACACGTGCACAAATAAAACACATAGTGTCACTAGACACTATGTTGAAAATAAGCTATACAACTTGTGGGTAGGGAAGGGAGGGAAAAACTGGGAGAGAGGGAGGGAAGGAGTGACATTGTCCAAAAAGAAATGTACTCACTGCCGGACTTATGTAACTATAAACCTGCACATCACCTTTAAAATAACAGTAGAAGCAGCAGCAGCAGCAGCAGCAATGGCTTAGTTACAGGTGTGGCCTGGTTGGACATTATCTCAGTGAGGGGTCTCCAGCATTCTGGGGATTTTTTTTATTGCTGTCATCACCTGGGGAAAGAACAGCTCCCATGGGATCACGCTACTCTGGAATGAACTTCACCACAACAGGTGATTTGGGGATGATCTGTCCTGCAAGCTTCTGTGGTTCCTTTGGGGGTGGTTTTACTCCTTTGTCATAAACACATGGTACTCCCCCCTAACCTTCTTGATTAGAAGCCTAATAAAGAAATGGAAATTAATAAAGAATAAATAACTCAACAGAAATCCTTAGGATACAATGATAGAATTTAAGAATACAACAGAGAATATCAACAACAAATTCAACCAGGAAGAAAAAATGATACCAAAGACAGATTATTTTCTAATTAGCCAGATGTAAGAATAAAAAGATAAAGAGTGAAAAAAAGAAGAAAGCATGAAGGATACCATGAAAGAAATGGATATGTGAGTTGCAGAAATCTCAGTAGAAGAAAAAAGAGAAAGAGGTAGAAAATTTCTAAACAAACAAACAAATAAACCCCAAATACAAGATTTGATTCAGGCAGCGATAGCTCATGTCTGTGATTCTAGCTACTCAGGAAGCTGAGATCTGAAAAGGATGGTTTGAAGCCAGCCTGGGTAGAAAAGTCCCTGAGATTCTTAACCACCAAAAATGCCAGAAATGGAGGTGTGGCTCAAGTGGTAAAGCACCAGCCCTGAGTAAAATAGCTAAGAGATGTGGGCCCTGATGGTTCACACTTACAATTTTAGCTACTCAGGAGGTTGAGACCTGAGGGTTGAGGTTCAAAGGCAGCCTGACCAGGAAAGTCCATGAGACTCTTCTCTCCAATAAATTACCAAAACATCCAGAAGTGGAGCTATGGCTCAAGTGGTAGAGCTTTAGCCTTGAGCAAAAAAAGCTCAGGGTTAGCACTCAGGCCCTGAGTTCAAACTCCAGGACAGGCCATAGAAAAAAAGCTAAGGGAGAGCAGAAACCCTGAATTCAAGCCCCAGTACCAAGATGCACAGAGAAGACAGAGAAAGTAGTTGAAAACCCCCTAATTCTTGGGAGTATTTCAACATGTGTAAGTTTAAGGACATAGGAAAGATGAACTCAAAAAAATATTCAAATGAAATTCTTGACAGTCAAAAGCAGAATCTGAAAAGCCAGTGAGCTTCCTGTGTCAGGCAAAGCTGTCCTTCAGACCTGAAAAAAGAGGTGAAGACAGTCCCAAGTAGAATCTGAAGACATTATTCATCATGAGACCTGTTTTATTTATTTATTTATTATTTTATTTATTTATTTATTATTTTATTTATTTATTTATTTATGTTTTGGGTCCGGTCGTGGGCCTGAACTCTGGGCCTGGGCACTGTCCCTCAGCTCTTCAGCTCAAGGCTAGCGCTCTACCACTTGAGCCTCAGCGCCACTTCTGGCTTTTTTCTTTTTGCTTATGTGGTGCTGAGGAATCGAACCCAGGGCCTCATGCATGCAAGGCAAGCGCTCTACCACTGAGCCACCTTCCCAGCCCCGAGATCTGTTTTATTTAAAATGCTAAAGGAAGTTCTACAAATTCAAACTAAAAGTAAGTAAGTAGTAATATGAACACATATAAAAGTATAAAATCACTGGTAAAAGTAAACATATAGTGACATTCAGAATATTTTCTTATTTTTTATTTTTTTAGGATATTTTAATACTTAACAGTGGTATGTAAATAACTACGGGTAAAAATGAAAATAGATAAAAACATCAAAAATAAAGCAATGAAGGTACCATTTAAAAATAAGTTTCTAATGAGTATATATTACGAAGATGGAAAATACGACATTAGTAGTTATGTAGGGAGGGAAAAAATAAAAGTGTGGAGTGTGTGTGTGTGTGTGTGTGTGTGTGTGTGTGTGTGTGTGTGGTAACACAGGGCCTTGTGCTTGCTAGGTTGTAGTTCTACAACTCAGTCACACTCCAGCCTCTCTGCTCTTTTACTTTAGGTATTTTGTAAATAGGATCTCACGTTACTCCCTGAGCTTGCCTGGACCACAAACAATTCTATTTATGCTTCCTTTGTAGCTGGGATGACAGATTCACACTACTACACTCAGCTTTCTACTGGTTGAGATGGGGTTTTGCAGCTTGCCTGTACTGCCTGTGAATCACAATCTTCCTAATCTCTGCTTCCCAAGGAGATAGGAATATAGGCTAGAGGCACCATGCCCAGATAAAATTGTGGACTTTTTATGTGATTCAAGCCAAGATATGGGTTTGAGATACAATCCTATAATTCTAAGATGTTTTATGTCATCTTCAGGTAACCAAACTGCTAGTAGAGATGAGAAAAAATAAAGAAGAAAAGACAACCATACTATTACAAAAATAAATCAATGAATCACAAGGGAAGATAGCAAGATAATCCAAAAGAAACTACAAATTACATAGATGGCCTAGAAATTAATATCAAGGTTATATGATGAAAGAAAATATAAAAAATAAACAGCAAAGGAAAATATTCAATTCAATTGCTTATTAGTTTAAAAACTAGTGTTGGTGTGCCTTCTCTGTTCTAAGAATTTTTATGTGCTTAAATTCCTAAATTTTTATGTTTTTGAAATACTTACAAATAGTCTCTTTTCTTATCAGAATAATTAATGATACGTGCATCAGGACAATAAAAGCTAATATGCAGTTTTTCTAAAATGTCATCTTTGTTTTATCTACAAATAAAACACTATAACATCTCACAAAATGCTTTAAAAGTTAGAATTAGGAACTTGTTCCCTAAGAGTAAAAGTACCTCTACCCTTAGTTGGTCTCCAGAGGGCAGCAGAGAGTCACATATGCTGGTCCTTTGGACACTTGGGTTGTCTTTTGGACTCTCCTGTTGTTGCTTATGACAAGGCCTTACTCAGCTGAGTGGCCCAGCTTTGGAAGTCTTCATAAGGTCATGCCTCAGAACGATGCCAACAGTCCAAAGTGAAGAGTCAAATAATGACTTCAATTTCATATGAACAAGTTATTAATAGGGGAAGATCACTAATCATAATATCTTTGTGGTTAATCATACTTGGTATGTTTATGGAAAACTGGTGATATAAAGAATTTAAGCCTTTAAATGATTTCTACTTCTAGAAGTAGAGATGGAATATATAAGGAGTAGCATTCATCATTCACCCTTACTTTTAAAATTCATTCTGTGTGTGTGTGTGTGTGTGTGTGTGTGTGTGTGTGTGTGTGTGTCCGTGCTGGTATAGGGTTTGAACTGAGGCTTCTTAATCTCCTTCAATTGTTTTTGAATATTTTATATTTATTGGGAACATATCGTTGTCTCAAAGATGATTGAAGATATAAAGGACCATATAATACCATGCTTTCATAAACCACGGAATTCTGAATTACTCTTCTTCCCACGAGTTTTAGAGAAAAGAGATTAAATACATCTATGACCTAGTTACTCAGGAGGATGAGATATGAGGATCTCAGTTCAAAGTCTCACAGGCAGAAAAGTCTGTGAACCAGATAAAGAAGAGCCAGAAATGGAGCAGTGACTCAAACAGTAGAGTGCTAGCCTTGAGTGAAAAATCTCAGGGGCAGAATCCAGGCCCAGTACCAGCCCAACATAGAAAAAAAGGTATCAATGGAAGAACTCCTCAAGTGTACCTCATGTGCACACTGAGCTGTAAGCCACACTGCTCCTGTCTTTAGAGAGGTTCCTCCTCTGGAGTCTGAGGTATCCCATCTGCCTCCAGGGAATCCACTCAGGACCATCCAGTCTTCTAACCAACTGTATCTCTGCCACATAGACTTTGAGGTCATTCCACCTCCGGTTTAGGGACCCTGAGTATCAAATTGGAGGTTTTCTAATTTGTGGAAAGTTACTATTATCATTGTAAAGTATGTAATGTGTTAGGGCTGCACTCTCTGAGATGACCTGGAAATCCAGGAAGCAGATGCTGGAAGAGGGGAGCACTCATGGGAACTCAGCAAGCCCCACTCCTCGCAAGGGATCAGCTCTCCACCTTCCCTTCCTTGCCCCAGGCAGCAGCACACCCACCTGGTACATCCCTTTGACCATCGCTATGGCATCCGTCAGCTGTTGCTGAAAGGATTTCCTCATGGTGTCCTCATTCTGCAAATGGAAAATGAATACACTCAGTGTCACAATGGATTTCCCCTCTTCCTCCTCTTTCCTCTCTCCCCCTTCACATCTTTGGCTCCTACAGGGCCTTTAGTGCACAAAAAAGATAATATAATAGTCAGGAGGCTGAGAGCTGAGGACTGAGGTTGTAAAACAGGCTGGGCAAGCAGGAAAATCTGTGAAACTTTTATCTCAATTAACCATCAAATAGCCAGAAGTGAAGCTATGACTCAAGGGGTAGAATGCTAGAACAATGCCAGTAGGGGCACAAAAGAGAAAGAAGGAAAAAAGAAAAAGATAAGATAAAAGGAAGGAAAGAGGAGTGATGATGATGATAATGATGAGGAGGAGAAAGAGAGAGAGAGAGACAGGAAAGAAAGACAGAAAGAAAGAAAAAAGGAAGGAAGGAAGAAAGAAAGGAAGGAAGGAAGGAAGAAGGAAGAGAGGAAGGAAGGGAGGGAGGGAGGGAAGGAAAGGAGAGAGGGAAGGAGCGAGGGAGGGAAGGAAGGAGGAAAGGAGGAGGAAGGAAGCTCAACCATCAAACTGCCTTCCTGCGCTATTGAACCAATGACTTTAAGTAAGTTATCTCTGTGTTTCAGCTCCCTCCTCTACAAAAGAAAAACAATGATCTACCTGATAAGGTCCATGTGAAGATCAATGTTTCCCATGCAAAACTAGAAGTTCCTAAGATACAGCAAAGCTTTAAGTAGAAGCTGTTGCATGAATCACAACCTAGGAAAATTTTGCTGTCCTGGTTAAGCTACTAAATTCAGCACTGTAGCATACATGTGTGTAAGGAACTCATGCCACACAGGCAGCAGAGAATGTGAAAATCTACCTGGCGATAATGGTTTTCAACATCCATGATCCTATCGTTCATGTTAGTGATGATATGCAAAGACTCTTCTTTAAGGCGATCCTCAAATTTCAACTGAAGCAAATCTTTGATGCACCCAAAATCCACCTTGAAGGATGTAATCATCTACAAATGGAAAGCCTACATTATTGTAGAGTAAATACATATTCCAGTGACTTTTCTTATTCTGAGAGCATAACCTGGCATCTGACTAGAATCTGGTTGGGCTTCTCAGAGTACCTCCCAGATGTGGTGTATTTGGAAAATTTCAATTATTCTATCTTTTGGTGTAGATCTAAGTTTTCAGAATGAGAGTTAATTTGAAAAATAAGGCATGTTATGGCTTGGATATGTTTTGTCCATTTGAGGGCTCTTGTTGGAGTTTAGTCCCTGTGGGGTGAGGCATGTGGAAGGCGCAGGCTTCATGTCTGTGATGTTTAGAAGAGGGGTCAACATTAGATCTTTGGGAGGGGTAGAAGGAGGGAAGGGAGAAAGAGGGAGAAAGTACTAGCCAGTGCTTACAAATTGTGTCTTGAAGAAGGTTCTCTAAAGCTGACCTCTCTCTCTCTCTCTCTCTCTCTCCCCCCCCTCCCCCATCTCTCTCTGGGCCTGAACATTGTCCCTTGATTTTATTGTTCAAGAGTACTTCACCACTGAGCCACAGCTCCACTTCTGGCTTTTTTTGGATTAATTGGACATGCAAGTCTCACAGACTTTCCTTCCCAGGCTGGCTTTGAACCACAGTCCTTAGATCTCAGCCTCCTGAGTAGCTAGGATTATAGGTGTGAGCCACTAGCACCCAGCTTGACATCTCCCATTTCTACCAAAATCCTATTAACCAAACCTTCATCATTTGAGTATACCAAGTTACAAGACCATAAGGTTCTAAAACTTTTTGAAATTTGTTTTTATAAAAGAAGATAGTAAATTGGCAAATATGTTGGAAAGAGACCTCTTCAAACTAGTGAAAGCCAGTCAGTGGAAGCCATGTGCCAGTTAGCTTGGCAGTCGTCATCCTAAGTGACTAATGTGTGCGTCCTCTGACTCAGAAATCCCAGTTAAGAACTTACACCCCAGGTTTACTGGCACACGAATCTAAGGGATTGTGCATCACCACAGTGAAAGATTAGAAGCTGCCAAAATGTCTATCAATAGAGGAATAACTAAATATATGGTGTACATTTTGTGACATGTAAGCTTGTGAAATAAATGAGGTTTCCTTTGGAAGGGAGAGGTAACAATGAAACTGGAACCCAGAGTTTTATGCATACAGAGCAAATGCTCTACTATTGAGTTACATCCCTTTAATTATAGTTTAAAAATGTTTGAGACAAGGTCTACATTGCCCAGGTTGGCCTTGAACTCATGATCCTCATGCCTTTGCCTCTTGAGTGCTGGAATTACAGGCAAGCACCACCATGCCTACCTATGAGAAAACTGTTTCTGTATCAATATGGGATGATTTCTGAGTTGCTTTAAGTAGACAAGGCACCCCAGCGCAATTAGTAGTATGTGACCTCATGTGATAGTTTTATCAATTATGGTTTTTAATAATAACTCTTGATATTCTGATGTATATGAAATGTTTTTATTCCTTTATTATCAAAAACACATCCAAAGGAAATAAGATAAAATGTCAAGATCTGACAAAGTTGTATGATGGTTTCCCAAGTATTTAGTATATCATTGTCTTCTCTCACTCAACTATATGCAAAAATATCTTTTATCTTTCAAATATCAAAATAGGAAAAGCTTACAGATGTCCTGAGAATAAAGAGTAACAGTTTACTAAGCAAGTTAACATATAAAAGCATGACATGCATATGACAAATACAAATCATAGCTTATATTCATAATTTTAAAAACACATACTATCATTCAGATGCCTGTATTTTTAAAGTGTCATAAGTTCAGTTCTGTTGATCAAAGATGCAGTGTAGACAAATTTCCACAATTATCTTAAATGTTTAGAAATAAACCCCAGTGCTACCTGTACCAACTTTCCTGTAGATGAACTCAATTCTTTTAGTGGCAAAATTTCACTGCAATCAGTCTGAGTGGCATGATCTGATGTGAAAAAGCCAATCTTTAGTTCATCAGAAATAGTGAGTCTGCAAGAAAACAGAAGAGATCAAATGTGCTTTGTGTTAGAAATAGGTGTCAAAAATCATTACCTGACTCATGTAATTGTAATCCCACTATATATCACCTCTATAATAACAATAAAGTAAATTAATGATTTTGAAAAGAAATAGGTAGCAATGCAAACACTTTTGGGTAAATTGGAGACTATTTCAAATATTGTAAGGGATGGGTAAAATGAGGAAGCTTGTGGATTATTTACTCATGATTTGGAGTTTCAGCAGAACTTCAGGTTATCCAACTCTCCACATTATGCCATTGCCCTTCTCAGACTAATTTTATCTTTGCTTTTCTAAGATATCTTAGCTGCTATTATTACCCATTCTACTGCAGGAAACCTCTTAAGTAGGGCAAGTTCTTAAATACTATTCAGTCCTGGACCACTAATTAAAAATCCTCCCAAATTCTGCTTACAAACTGAGCATGATAGAATATGCCTAGAATTCCAGCATTTGGGAAGTGGAGACAGGAGAATTGTGAATTGAATAAGTTGTGCTTGGGTATATCCAGCAGAAATACTTTGAGATACTTCCCAAATCTGATGTAAGGGCATGCAATTAAAGTTATCTTCTTTCCTTTATTCCTTCCTTCCTTCTTTTCTTCTTTTCTTCCTTCCTTCCTTCCATTTCTTTCTTTCTCTTCTTCCTTTTTTCCTTCCTTCCTTCCTTTCTTTTTTTCTTTCTCTCTTTTTTCTATTTCTGTGCCAGTACTAGGCCTGAACTCATAGCCCAGCTACTCCGAAAGCTGAGGCATGTAGTAATAAGGTTCAAAGCCAGCCTGGGAAGAAAAATCTTCAAGATTCCTTCTCAAATTTACCAGCAAAAAGCCAAACTGGAAGTGTGTCTCAAGTAGTAGAATATCAGTCATAAACAAGAAAGTTGAATGCAAGCTCAAGGCTAAGTTTAAGGCTCTCTCTGTTCACAAGCAGAATTTGGGAGGACTGATTTTTAATTAGATAGTGGTCCAGGGCTGAATAGTGTTTGAGCTCTTGCTCTACTTAAGAGGTGATAAGTTTGCCTGTAACTGTTCTGTGACCCTTGGCAGAAGATACAAGATTTCTGGGTCAGAGACAATGTACTTTATCAAAAAGCAGTAACCTAGAGCTATATGATCATTTGGATTCTCCCTACCCCTAACTCCAATCATGGTTGCTCAGAAGACCCATTAGAGCTGCCTGCCTGTGCAGTGAGTTGCACTGAAGGAAAGGAGCTCTGAGCCCAGGGATTCACTATTTGTATGTGTACTCAAGGCCTGGGCACTATCCCTGAACTCTTATTGCTCTAGGCTAGCACTCTACCTCTAGAGCCACAGCTCCATTTCTGGCTTTTTGGTGGTTAAATGGGGATAAAGATCTCATGGACTTTTCTACCTGTGCTGACTGTGAACTGATATCCTCAAATCTCAGCCTCCTGAGAAGATTACAGGAGTGAGCCACTTGTACCTGGCCAGATTCACTCCTTGGCAGAGCAAAGGCATTACGTCATCCATCCAGGATGTTCATTGCAAATAGTTTTTGGGAAATGACCTTCAGAGAGAGTGGTCAGGACCTGGCATTCTTGATACATCCTGAAGCCATGCTTAGGGCCCATAGAGTTGGATTCTTCCAGCAGCACTCTGTCAGCCAGAAAACAATGAGAGCTTCAAAATGAATTTGATTGAAACTAGAATACAATTTTAATTTAATTTAATTCAGATGCTTCATCTACACCTAGACAATGTTGTGGACAAACTCTGTCATCATTACAACATTGAAGAATCAGTGAGAAGTTAGTTGAGAATTTAGTGGAATTAATTGGTAATCATTATTTTGTTTTTTTTCACAGTAGAGAGAGTCCATTTATTTATTTTTTTAATTGTGAAAATACCGTATAGAAAGGTTACAATTACATAGGCAAGATAATGAGTACATTTCTTATCAAGCATTGTTGCCTCCTCCTTTGTTTCCCCTTCCCATCCCTTCCCATCCCCACCCCACTCCCACCCCCACCCCTCCCACCCCACCCACCCCCACCCCTTGGCTAAAGTTGTAAAGTTTGTTTTTCGATATAACGACTTGTACATCTCATTGTTGCAATGAGTCCACCTGTATCTCTATTTAAGCGATTTATTTTTCCCCTTGATGTTGGTATAATTTGTGGAAGGGAAGGGGAAGGTAATCATTATTTTGAATATTAAGAAATCTGAAATTTATATTAGGCTCTCTTGGTTGGCCATTGCTATGTTTGCATAGTTTTCTCCAAAGACAAGGAAAAAGTTATGATGTTTCAAAACATTATGTTGGTGATGGTATCAACCACTCCCATAACACCAATTGTGTGTGTGTGTGTGTGAGAGAGAGAGAGAGAGAGACAGAGAGAGAGAGAGAGAGAGACAGAGACAGACAGAGAGAGAGAGAGAGAGAGAGAGAGAGAGAGAGAGTACATCAGCCCTGGGGCGTGAACTCAGGGCCTGAACACTATCCCTGAACTTCTTTTCCCAAGAATAGTGCTTTACCACTTTAGCTACAGCTCTTCTTCCAGCTTTTTAGTGCTTACTCGGAAATAAAAGTCTCATAGATTTTCTTGCTCAGTCTGACTTCAAACTGTGATCCTTAGATCTCAGCCTCCTAAGTAGCTAGGATTATAGGCATGAGCCACCAGCACCTGGTTGAATGCCTTTTAAGTGATATACTGAACTGAGTACCAATATTTATGTTCTATCTAAAAATTTATAACCATCCTTGAAAATCATGTGTGAAAACCAACAATAAATTATAATTGTCACACTAAAATTAACTCTGACATTACACCATACTAAGGAAATGAATGAGTCATATAATCAAAATTAAATAAACTTTTTTTTTCCAAAATAACTTATAACAAGCTGGGCACCGGTGGCTCATGCCTGTAATCCTAGCTACTCAGGAGGCTGAGATCTAAGAATCATGGTTCAACACTAGCATGGTCAGGAAAAGCTGTGAAACTCTTATCTCCAATAAACCACCAGAAAACTGGGAGTGGAGCTGTGGCTCAAGTGGTAGAGCACTAGCCTTGAAATGAAGAGGGACAGCACTGAGAGACAGCACTCAGGCCCAGGGTTCAAGCCCCATGACCACCACCAACAAAAAAAAACTTATAACAAACTAGGAGAAAAGTAATTTTTAAGCAATGATGACATAAAATATATTTGGTACTTTTCAAAGATGACAATTATTATCCATGACAATTTGTACAGGTAACATTTCCCATTCCCCATCCCAGAAGTTTTAAGTTTTCTTTTATGATATATTTGAGAAGGATTTAAAATATAAAGCAAAGATACAATCATTATACTTTCAAATATGTGTCTCATAAAACTCAGATAATAATGAGGAGCATCCTAAAAATTACTAAAAAATCTCTCAACTTTTTTGTCTTTCTTATCAACCATTCCCTTTACCCTCAAGATAGTTCACTAAACATAGATTGATATTGGACATCCTTTTACAGAGCTTTCCTCTTCTTATTCTGACTCCCCAAACTGGGACCAAACTAACTGAGCTTCATATATTTAGCATAAAACAAATGGGTGCTGTTTTTTAATCAAGGATAATAATGATGCCGAGCTAGGCTGAGTTTTAGGAAGCCCAGAGACTGAGGAGAGGGATTAGATGTTGGAAAGGAATCACATCCCGGACTAGGGACATTACCAGATGGCTTAGGCCATCCCACAGGATCTTTATGACACAGAGCCGTTTCAGAGAGCTCCCAGAAAATGACAGCCCCTATCTATTTCCCTTTTCTCTATATGTAGGAGGAATTGATGATGCATAGCTCTGTCTTCAGAAGTTAATGACATATGACCATGTTTTCTAGGACTGATCACCTTCGTGTCTTGCAAACTAAATGCAAGCTTGCTGCAATTACCTACTGACCATTCTACCTATTAAAATAATTTGTAATCACCTTTTTTTCCATCTTTTCCTTTCATTCTCTCTTCCCTTCTCAAGTGGAGGCTAGTGACATGGGATGATGAGAAAGGATGGGAGCTATACAGAGAAAATCAGCAGATCTGGTAGCAGAGGCTGTAAAGCAAGAGGAGGAAGAGAGGACCAGCTCAGAGGTGGCAGGCAGAGAAGGCAGCTGCAATGGTGGGAAGATCAGAATACTGCCCGAGAAGGTAAATGAACTAAAGATGATAGAAGTCAAGTTTTTTCACTCCCAGGAAAGGTATTTACACACTAGTGTATATATATATATATATATATATATATATATATATATATATATGCACACACACACACACACACACACACACACAAGGTATGTACACTAGTACATACCCTGAGACAATGGAATAAAATTAAAAGGATTGGGGAGCTGGGAAGGTGGCTCAGTGGTAGAGCGCTTGCCTTGCATGCCTGAGGCCCTGGGTTCGATTCCTCAGCACCACATAAGCAAAAAGAAAAGAGCCGGAAGTGGCGCTGTGGCTCAAGTGGTAGAGCGCTAGCCTTGAGCTGAAGAGCTGAGGGACAGTGCCCAGGCCCAGAGTTCAGGCCCCATGACCGCCCCCCCCAAAATTAAAAGGGTTGGTATAGTGCACGATTAAAATTGTATATGAATCTACATGCATATATACATATATACAAACATAGATATACAAATTTGCATGTATGTGAATATATCACATCTGTATATATGCCTATATATTTCTTCCTAGTTATATTTGATGAGAGCCTCTGTAAGAATATCCCAATATTACTAGTAGTAATTAGCACACCCAAATACCCAAGTATTGGTTTCTTATTACCATCTTCAAGTAAAAAGAACTAAGTCTCTTTGGAAAGATGGAGATTCAAGGATTGATTTAAATGAAACTACACAGAAGCCAATATAAAAACATGAACCTAGAATATATATAATATACATATAATACGTAATACGAACATACATATATATGGTAGTACTAGGGTTTGAACTCAGGACTTCATGCTTGCTAGGTAAATGCTCTA